ACACACACACACACACACACACACACACACACACACACACACACACACACACACACACACACACACACACACACACACACACTCTGTTTGGAAATGAAGAGTAAGAAAAATAAAAGGGAAAACATGTTTTTTTTTTAAATCAATAGGCAATCAAGGCAACACAGGCTCATTCATCAAAATAACCCGAGCCAGGAGGTGAGGTATTCTAGCTGAAATCATTCTCGCTAGCTCATTAACATTGCTGTCACTACCGCATTTGTGTCAGTTTCAGAATTCTGTAGCTGTTTCAGACAGCAGTGGTTGGTATGATACTGTCTCCTGCCTTTTCCTGCTTTAACCAGGTGGATAGGTTTTATGTGGTTATGTTCAGAATAGCTTTTCCCTTCTTTCTAACCCGCCTTTGATCCCCATACCAAAGCTTAGAAGGGCCTACAGGCACGGATACAACACCATGATCTAAGTGTCCCGACCCTCTGTTTGTCAGAAGCTGGGAAAGGATGACAGGAGATGGATCATTTGATGATTGCCTGTTCTGTTCATTCCCTCCGAAGCATCTGGCAGAGGCCACTTCTGGAAGACCGGATACTAGGCTAGGTGGACCATTGGTCTGACCCAGAATGGCCGTCCGTATGTCTGAGTGACACCAGCTGGCGGTAATAATTCTTTGTGCTACTTTCTTTTGCACCTTTTTTTCAGGAGTCCTGATGCACTTTCTAAATCACTAGTGAGATAAACCTCACTGCCTGCCATGAGGCAGGGAAATAATAATATCCCCATTGGACAGTTGGGGAAACATTATACAGTTGAGGCACAGAGAGGTGAAGAACTTTCCAAGTCCAAAAAACAGCACGCAGAGCTTCTGCCTCTCACTCCTGTCCTTAACCCCAAGGCTACTCTTCCTCCCTGATCTGGTTGCACACAGGGCCTAAGGACATGATAAAGGCATCCTCCTTCCTTTAATCCACCAGCCTGGCGGGACTGAATTCCCACCCATTCTACCTACTTTGCCCTGACCACCATAGTGTCCAAGCACCTCTCAATCCCCTGTGAAGTAGGAGAGCACAATCCCATTTTGCAGCTGAGGAACTGAGGTACAGGGTAGATTAACTGAGATATCCAAGGTCACACAGGAAATCTGTGGCAGCGCCAGGAGTAGAACGCAGATCTCTTGAGTCTCAGTCAAGTGCCTCTGTTAGATAATCCTTCCTACCCCTGCCCTACTAAGGTCTTTAGGTGGGAGTAGCAGCTAGGCCTCCACACTCTCTATGTTGGGCAGGTTAGGCCTATGGCACTAATTTAGCAACAGATCCAGTGGCTGCTCCCCTATCTCTTCCCTAGCCCATGGAGCTATGGGAAAGGCACCATGAAGCTGAGCTTTGGTGCACAGGAGGGGTAGAGTCTCCCCAGCACGGTTTGGCCCCTCTGCTATGGTTCTCTGAACAGCAGAAGTGCAATTAGGGCCTTTCACACCTCAAGTAGTGGTAAAGAAGCCAGCATAGGTTCCAGAGGAAATAGGGGCTAAAACCGAGTTAACACCACGACACATGATGAACCCCAACCACAAAATGCCAGAGGAAGGAAGGAAGGAAGGAAGGAAGGAATGGCCATTAGTTTCCATGAAACTAGATGCTTGGGGCTGGATTTTCATTTATACTAAGGCCCCTTTTATGCTGTTCTGGATTTTATGGCCACTTTAAGGCCACTTTACAGGAGAGCAGCCTAACCGAGCTTTGATCTGAACAAAAACTTGTTCCTAAACTCAGTTTTTGTTTCAGGGTGTCAAGCAGGGGGTGCAGATAAGGCACCTTCCCTTTATCTTTACTCTTCAAACACTCCATTCACTGTGGCCCAGAGGAAAACTGACCTTGTCCATCTTGCATGTACTTAGTAGAACATGGATTATGTGAACTCTGCAAACAGATGGTGATGATCAGCAGGAGAGTTCTGTGCCAGGAATGAATTTTTCACACAAAGAGTTCATTAGCAGTGTAATAATAACTCCCAGGTACATTTTCTATTAAATTACTTTATATGGAAACTCTATATGTCCCTGGCACAGAAATTAATAGGTGCTAAGGCATACCCTGTTGACTTGTTAATTGAAACCCTGTTTATTTTACAGGTAATGTATAGGAGTTAAATCAAATTTAAAGTCTAAGGATTTATGACTGGAACAATTTAATGCTGAATTAGCCCCTGTTGAATATACCTTCCTAAAATAATAGCATTGGTTCCAAGAACCCACATTTTTAGCCTATGCTGATCACCCCTCGAATGAAAGGAATAGTCTGGCAGTAGCGTAAAACACACCAGGCCAATTCACCCCTGGTGTAGTGCGGCAGAGTTAAGTGATGATCTTGGCCAAGTATTTTACATCCTGTGGCTGCGCTATGCCATGCGGCCAGTGCAGAGCAGCCGTAAAGCTGGTGTGTCCAGACACAGGAGGATAACTAAGCCCCGTGCAGTGGGATCTCTCAGCAGCATAGAACTGACACAGTGATTCTTGTACCACCACTGCCGCTGCTGCTGGAATAGGGGACATGGCCCGGAGGAAAGGAGCATGGGTGTTGCTTCCTTATGCCCTCAACAATCAGCAGCTCAGGAGAGCTGGGTTATATCCTCAGCTCTTCTGCTGCCCTTCAGCATGGCCCTGGGCTAGTCACTTCCCCTGTTCGTGCCTTGGATTCTGTTCCCGCCTTGTGTTTGCCTTGCTTATTTCAATCATTCGTTCTCTGGGACAGACACTCTCTCTATGTGCTTGTGTAATGCCCAGCACACTCGACCCCAGTGTGGATCAGTGCTATGGGTTTACCACTACGGAGGTCAGCCCTGTAGACAGCTGGCAAAAGAGACGCCAGGGGACTGACACTGCTGGCCTCGAACTAGGGGAGCACAAATGCTGCTTTTGTGCCTCCCTACTGCACTGCATCGTATTCTCCTTAACAGACACCAAGGATCTGGGCCAACGGATTGATACTGTTTTTGTCCTGAATACCAGTCAAGTAGGAAGTGCATCACCACTTCTCCCACTTCTCGCACATAGGAGTGGGTTGCTGTAAAATACACATTATTTACATACAAAAACACAAGACAGCTTAGCCCTTTACGTTGTTGGGATAGTTCTGTTTTCCAGCTATTGCATTTATTCCCCTGTTAAGTCTTTCTGTGGTTCTGTATGTTTTTGACAATGGACCTAAACTTTAATAAGATTCCTGAGCACGGGTAGCTTATTAAATTAAACCAGTACATGCAATGACAGTTACAAAAAATATTAATACAGAAAGGAAAATTCATTCAAGACAACTCTCCCAGAGATTAGAACATGATTCCAGCTGTGAAAGATCAAAAGAATGGGTGATAAAATATGAATTTCACACGCTGAGATGGAAGAACTGAGAATTTAGCCTATTTACCTTTTTAATTCCAGCACAGGTGCAGTCACATCAATAGCAATGGGCTTGTGTGACCTACGTGCATCCTGTCCATGACAGGGCCTCGTCCAAAGTTCACTGAAGTTGATAGAAAGGCTCTCGATTGACTTCAACAGGCTTTGTATCAGTCCCACAGGTAGCATCAGCCTATACTGTAAGTTTAAAGATGTTGTGCAGTAGGAGAGTTTACACAGATGGAGGTTAAAGGGTACTCATCTGAATTCTGTTCCCAAATCTGTCACTGACTGTTGTGTGACTGGGCAAGTCACTATATCTATCCCTCAGTTTCTCCACCTGTAAAATGGGGGGTTATGATGCTCGCCCACCTTCTGTAAAGCACTCAGGCCCCGATTTTTAATGGTATTTAGGTATTGCTGTGAAACACCTAACTGGGGATTTAGGCCCCTGAGTGCCTAAATCACTCTTAAAAATGAGATTTAGGCTCCCAAGCAATGCTGAGCACAGCAGTGCCTAAATACCTTTAAAAATCTGGGCCCCAGAGACTTCCAGAGGAGAATCACTACTAGTGCTAAGTACTGTAAGAAGTGGAGGAAGGATTATGGATGTTGCAGAGGTTCCTTTTCTAAAACCTGGGACAAAATGTATATCTACCCCTTCTGGGCACAACCTGTAGAGCCAGCAAATTCAGAGAACATCATGTGCACTCATTGGACGCACCGATCAGAGAACATCCTCTGAGCCCATTGCACATAGTGGGGTAGAGTCTGGTAGTGTCATCTACATCCGTTTCAAGTGGGGCCCAATGCTATCAGATGTACAGTCATAGACTTCTTTGTGCTCCCTTTGCACTGAGGTAAATG